TTTATGCTTGGGCTAAGCCAAAATCTCTCTCTATCCTTCTCTTCCCCCTCTTTTTCTCTTTTTGGTGAGAGCTGTAATTTGACGATCAAACTGTCTCGAATATATCAATTAAATTGATTTACTTTTTTTACTTGAAGCAAAATTTCAATTTGATGACTAAATGATTGAAAATGCTATAAGGTATAATATCGTGGAAGATTGTATGTTATCAATCATGACATGACATTAATTAAATATGATGTGGTATGCAAAATTTCAATTTGATGACTAAATGATTGAAAATGCTATAAGGTATAATATCATGGAAGATTGTATGTTATCAATCATGACATGACATTAATTAAATATGATGTGGTATTAAATGAGTAAATATATATAATATCTTAAGTTCATTTTTAAATAAAATGAGTTAATTATATAATAATATATTATTTATGCACTTATAATATTATATGACATTATAATTATAGTATTTTTGCTAAGTATTTTTCATCTTTTCAATTCCTACACAAGTCTTAAATATTGGTCTGGAACATTAATCCAATATATGATTTCACAATTGGAAAAAGGTTAATATATGGAGGGATAATTGTTGAAAGATTCCTATTTAAGAATTAGGGAGTTAATTCGTGTTCGATGATGGATTATGATGTTGGTACCCAGCACCTAATATTAATTTAAGCATGATCTTGTTTGATTTATGCTAAGAATGATTGTTTACACTTTGCTTACAAATTGAAGAATTTTCTCCACATTTCTGAAAATGCGTGTTTGAACGCGGGATTTGTCGAACAAAACACCGAGCTTTAAAGCAAATATAGTCGTTGAACTGTTTGGGCCATCTAAGGCCGGCTCAACCTGCTCTACTGCTGGCTTAAATGTTCTGTTCTCAAGACTATTAGGTCCCTAAGTGTGTATGCTTAATATTCTTGATGAGTTTGTTCATGCTCTGGATCTCCCACTTGCTCAACCTTTGTTTCAGGATATACTCATTATTCTTTTACTTGACTTTTGATTAATGGAACTTTTAGATTTTTTATTTCTAAGGTACATAAAAGCTTAGGGTCATTGCCAGTAGGATTACTGGAACCAAGAACTGAATCTAAGCTTGAAAGTTGAATAGTTCAAATCTTACCAATTAAGCCAATCTTTTTGCACAAAATCCTTTTCTTTTTTTTTTTTTTATTTGAATCATTCAAACCTTACAATTAACTTTCATAAGTAGAACTTTAAATTTTAACTCTTAAAAACTGAAGACTTTTGATTCATAGGATATTCATGTTTTGTAAGCGGTGGCATATTGAGCGGAAGCTAGTCTTGCTAACACATCTATTAATGTTTCTGTTCTTGACAATTTTGATCATTGTCATCTGCTTGATTGCTTAACAGCGGTTAGCATGACTATGGTGCAACCGCTGCACTTTGCTTGCGCTTTAGGAGAACATGCGATCTTTTGATGCATGTCATAAATTGTTCACAAAATATCAAATCTTGGCCCATGAGATATGGGCATGTAATGCAACTCGACACAGACATATTTTAAGGTGGAACTTACACATTTTGATTTGTTAATTAATTTGGAACTTTTCTTGCTATATGCATTGTTTGAAATCTTCTTGTGCTTAAGACTTGGATCTTTACTGTATTCATGATTGAAATTTCTTGAACAATTCATGGCCCATGCTTTGATAATGCATTGCCTTTTTATACGACTGCTAATGACAGCAAAAGGGAAAAGAAATTTATGATGAATTGATGAAACAGTTTGATATAACTTGGTATATTCTTTGAACTTTTGTTTATTTTAGTTGAGCTATTGTTTTGGTTGAGATATTGCAATATTAAGGACTTAGAGGAGGACCCCATAGAGTCGACCCCAATATCTAGAATTTCATATTTTCCATAAACTCAACTCATATTCTCAACATTTTTTACATTCAAAAAATTAATTTTTTTTAAATAAATTAAGTCAACGTGGAGTTATACTTAAAATTTTTTTTTTTAAAAAATCAAATTTGATATGTGCGTAATTTAAAAAAAGATTACATTCAAAGTGCGTTTGAATTGAGAATGAGCCAGTTTGACTGCCAACAATACTACCTCATCACTCAATAATGTGGTTGTAAGTTGTAAAAAAAAATAAAAAAAAGGCGTTGGTTCACAAGTCACAATCTTCCAAGTCTCTATTTATCTAGGACAACTATTGGCATCGCTTTTAAAGTTGAGTTCTTGTCCACCACCATGCACAATGGTAGGTCAATGATTCTTCAATAATTTCGACTCTTTTAGTCTAAAATACTCTTCCCTCCACCCAAAAA